AGATATCCACCCTATCGTTCATTTTTACATATGAATTAGACTTGATTCAGGGGCTTCTTGGGGAAGACAGAGGAACTTGCATTGTACTTTACTTCACATTTCCCAATTTAGGCATTTCTTTTTTCAAAGTTTGTTGACATTATTGATTCGATCCTTCTGTAATTCCTACATAACTAGTTATAAGGAGCATCCAATACAGGAACTGGCTCATTTCTTGACCTTAGCCTGGGGGTTGTTGGTGAGGTCAGTTGGGAACTATAAAAAATTACAACAAAGGAGACTTCTTTTTTCTGATTGTGAACCTTCTAATACTATGTAGCATGAATCCAGTTATACTTGTATATGTGGATTTTGTATCACCATGTTGATTATTCCACTCTTTGCATGTGCTGTACGACATTTTTCCTTAATAAATGTTTGCTGTTTTTAAAGGATATCACTGAACCAAGGGTTCTTAATGATAAAAGTTGTAAACATAATTACAAGAATGTGTGGTATGATTGCCAATGAGACAACTCTCCACAAGAGACCAAAATGAATAAAGATAACAACAGTATACTGCTGTTCAAAAGTCATAAATCGATTGAGAGAAAAATTAACAAATCTGGGTAACAAACTAATACCGAGGGAAACACATCAACTATAAGAGGAAAACAACAGAAACACTGAAGTGCAACAAAAATAAACCCTAATGGAACATGCATAGAAACGACAAAAATGACATAGCAATTAACAACTATAAGTTGCCGTACACCTTCAATAATAAGCAAAAGCACCAACCCCCCCTTTACTTTTGACATTTGATATTTTTATTATCTGGAGCTCTGTTAAAAAATAGAATACCAAAAAATAATATGAAAACAAAATTGTGAACAGAGTTCTAGATAATAAACATGGAGGGTGGTGAAAAAAGTGGGATTATTTTAAATATTATTTATTCACTCGCTGTACATTCATTCCAAAATTGGTCTCCATTCTCCTAACTTTAGCCGGACTGGACCTTATGTTATAAAATGTGTACACAACGCTCAATTTACTACAAAACGTAGATCAAGTTTAAATTTGGTTGTCGTCACTTTTATCTTTTTCGAGTTGTGTCCCTTTTAATATGAAAGCAAGGGTATAATTTGTGTCCCATGGACACATGAACTATTAATGTTTCAATATGTTTATGAAATTAAAAACATCTGATATTTTGATTATCCAAAGCTCTGTAAAAAAAAAATGTAAAATAAAGATAAAATGATTAATATGAAAACAAAACAGATTTCTAGATAATATACATTGAGGTGGTTTTATAAATGGGCATATTTTAAATTTATGAATAATTATCCAAAAATGTGAAATTTTTCAACAATGAGCATATAGTCGGCTATGAAAGGCCCTGAAAATACACCTATAAAACAATTAAAACGACAAAGCAAAATAATGAACAAAAAAACAAACATGATATATAGCATGAACAAATGACAATCGCTGAATTGCAGGTTCCTGACGTGGGACAACCATATACAGAACAAGGGGTTTGGGGTTAAACTAGTTTGAATGTTCCAGTACCCTCCCTCCCCTTACCTGAGACAGTTGTGTAACAGTACAACATAACAAACTATTAAAATCAGTTGAAGATGGCTAATAACTCATCAGATTGATACAAAGCAGAAATTCATCTAACAAATACACAAAACTGACCGGAAGGAGAAGGGTACTTATACATTCTCGCAACAACAACAAAAACACTACCGTGTACAGATCTGATAAGAGTACAAGCTTTAAGTAGTTGCTGACAGTTAGTTCAAAGACAATAACAACTAATAAAAAAATTATGCATCTAAGACTAAAATATCAATCAGTACACATCCACACCAATGGATTTAGTGTAAAGACATCATTAACAGTTGGAGAAAACCATGACCTTGTTGTCCATGTTCATTTCTTTGTATGATTTATTCATGATTAACCAAAATTCTAGAAATAAAAAATTATTCAAATATTAAATACTTATAATGGTGTATGATGGATACAAATATAAGTTTGTAAATTATTAAGAAATTAAACAGCATCTAAGACAAAAGTTTGATCTTTTTTTAATTTCTGTATTTTACTGATAAATAGACTCTCTCTATTTTTAAATTCTATATTACACTGACAGCAGCTATAGCAGGCAATACATTAGGTTCCACACAACCCCTTATGAAATTTTTAATCTTTGACATGAAATCAAACCACTAATTCAAATGGTACTAGACCATTGCATGTCTTTGTCTGTATTTATGTGTACATCATGTGATATGATCATCTGCAGACTTTTTTTTTATATTTATGTGTACATCATTTGATATGAACATCTGCAGACTTCAGAGGCCATATTCTCAAGATTTAATTTAATGGTGTCTAGTCTAAAATTTATACAAATGTTTTACTTTTTTGGGGAATCAAGGCATTGTTCATTGTTTCTTTTTGACTTTTTATACGCCCGTTTATGGGACGTATTATGGTATACGTTGACTGTCTGTCTGTCCGTCCTTCGTCGACATTAATTCAAAAACACTTTCACCAATTTGCATGAAACTTTGGTGAATTGTTTATATCTATTGACGTGAGCTCTCTTTCATTTTTTTATAAATTTCGGATTTACCATTTCCGAGTTTTGGGGTTTTATTCATTAAAACAGGTGGGATTTTCCAGCTTTTTGGACAATAACTCAAAAACAATTTCACCAATTTGCATGAAACTTGTGAATTGTTTATATCTATTGACGTGAGCTCTCTTTCGTTTTTTATAAATTTCCGATTTACTGTTTCCGAGTTTTGGGGTTTTATTCATTAAAAAAGGGGAGATTTTCCAGTTTTCGGACAATAACTCAAAAACATTTTCATCAATTTGCAAGAAACTTTTATGAATTGTTAATTTCTATCGACATGAGCTCCCTTTTGATTTTTATAAATTTTAGACTACACATTTCCAATTCATGGGGTTTTATTCATTACAAAAAGGGGGATTTTCCAGTTTTCCGACAATAACTCAATTTATGAAACTTTGGTAAATTGTTTATATCTATTTTTGTAAGCTCCCTTTTGATTTTTATAAGTTTTCGAATTTAGGTGTCCGAGTTATAAGATTTTATTTGTTAATAGTCTGACAACAGATTTACTAAGCATTGCGCAACAGCACAGTGTATTGCACAACAGCAAGAAATCTTTAATTGGATATAAATTCAATTCATATAACCAATTTTAAATTCTTGACTACATTTATTCAGAAACCTATAATATGTCAAATATTTAATTACAATCCAAATTCAGACCTGTATCAAGCTTGAATATTGTGTCCATTTTTGCCCCAACTGTTCAGGGTTAGACCTCTGCGGGCGTATCCAGCTGTGCTCAGCGAAGCAGTTTATTGTAAATTGTATATATGTTTTAGAATAGTTTAATACAAATATGAGAATTTGGATCAGATTCTTGAACCAGAATTTGACAGCTAATGTTTGGTTAAAACCCAATGATTCCAATTCACTATTCATAGACTTTCCGTTTGCATATAGCACTAATCCAGCTGCATACATAAAAGTAATAACATATCTTCCAGGTTAAACTTGAATAAGTACACCTATGGACTTCATTTTGGCGGAACATGTATTCTAAAATAAATAGAACATATTTTCATCCCATAATACAGGAGGTGAGGGTTGGGGTCATTTCTGTTGGAATTTTTGTATTGTTGATCGAACTCAGTCAACAAAACTGTTATTTAAGGAAATATGAATATTTTTTAAACAAAAATAATCAGAAAACGTTTGAGAAATTCATTTTGAAATTATTTCAACAAAATCTCTCCAGACAGTGATATTTGAGGCTAAACTATTGGAAAGTCAAGAACCCAATACAATCATTTAAGAACTTTAAACCAAAAATATAGTAAAACCTTGACCGAGATTCAGAACTATGCACTATGGTATAGTTTCTATGTGTAAGGACAGTGCCACTCTGCACGTTAAAGAACCCTTGCCACAAGTCTTTGAGGGGTCAGTAGGTGGCCTGTTGCAAGGCTTAATTTCTGTCCAACATATCCTCCTCTCAGTTGGCAGTCAAAATTTCCTTTCCCTTCATCATCGTCCCACTTTATAGAACCTACAAATTGATTGGTTATGAAATGAAGAGATGTGAGACAACTGTCCTACAGAGACTAAATGATGTTGATGTAAAATAGGTTACTGTATGGACTTCAACAATGAGAAAATCAACCAACATTAAAATTTTGCAATATTCTGAATTAGAATGACTCTGTTTATACCTCTAACCTTTAACATCTGACATTTTTATTATCTAGAGCTCTGTAAAAAAGAAATATAAAAAAAATATAAAAAAAGAAAATACCAAAAAATAATATATGAAAACAAAATCGTTTGTAAACAGAGTTCTAGATAATAAACATTGAGGGTGGTATAAAAGGTGGGATTATTGTAATATTTTTTATGACCCCCGCCTTAAAGTCTTCTAAATTTATCATTTTTAAAACAAACAAAAATTGGAATGGCAATTTAAAAAGTATATAGTTCCTATGTGTAGGGACAGTGCCACTCTGCACGTTAAAGAACCCTTGCCACAAGTCTTTAAGGGGTCAGTAGGTGGCCTGTTGCAAGGCTTAATTTCTGTCCAACATATCCTCCTCTCAGTTGGCAGTCAAAATTTCCCCTACCTTCATCATCGGCCCACTTTATAGAACCTACAAATTGATTTGTTATGAAATGAGGAGATGCGAGACAACTATCCTACAGAGACCAAATGAAATTGCATGTTACTGTATGGACTTCAACAATGAGAAAATCAACTAACATTAAAATTTTGCAATATTCTGAATTAGAATGACTTTGTTAATACCTCTAACCTTTAACATCTGATATTTTTATTATCTAGAGCTCTGTAAAAAAAATATAAAAAAAAATATAAAAAAAGAAAATACCAAAAAATAATATATGAAAACAAAATCGTTTGTAAACCGAGTTCTAGATAATAAACATTGAGGGTGGTGTAAAAGGTGGGATTATTGTAATATTTTTTATGACCCCCACCTTAAAGTCTTCTTATGTTATCATGTTTAAAACAAACAAAAATTGCAATGGCAATTTAAAAAGTATAGTTCCTATGTGTAGGGACAGTGCCACTATGTACGTTAAAGAACTGTTGCCACAAGTCTTTGAGGGGTCAGTAGGTGGCCAGTTGCAAGGCTTAATTTCTGCCCAACATATCCTCCCTCAGTTGGCAGTCAAAATTTCCCAACCTTCATCATCGGCTCACTTTATAGAACCTACAAATTGATTGGTTATGAAATGAAGAGATGTGAGACATTACTATCCTACAGAGACCAAATGATGTTGATGTAAAATAGGTTACTGTATGGACTTCAACAATGAGAAAATCAACCAACATTAAGATTTTGCAATATTCTGAATTAGAATGACTTTGTTTATACCTCTAACCTTTAACATCTGATATTTTTATTATCTAGAGCTCTGTAAAAAAAAATATCAAAAAAATATAAAAAAAGAAAATACCAAAAAATAATATATGAAAACAAAATCCTTTGTAAACAGAGTTCTAGATAATAAACATTGAGGGTGGTGTAAAAGGTGGGATTATTGTAATATTTTTTATGACCCCCACCTTAAAGTCTTCTAAAGTTATCATTTTTAAAACAAACAAAAATTGCAATGGCAATTTAAAAAGTATATAGTTCCTACATGTAGGGACAGTGCCACTCTGCACGTTAAAGAACCCTTGCCACAAGTCTTTAAGGGGTCAGTAGGTGGCCTGTTGCATGGCTTAATTTCTGTCCAACATATCCTCCTCTCAGTTGGCAGTCAAAATTTCCCCTACCTTCATCATCGGCCCACTTTATAGAACCTACAAATTGATTTGTTATGAAATGAAGAGATACGAGAGAACTATCTACAGAGACCAAATGAAATTGCATGTTACTGTATGGACTTCAACAATGAGAAAATCAACTAACATTAAAATTTTGCAATATTCTGAATTAGAATGACTTTGTTAATACCTCTAACCTTTAACATCTGATATTTTTATTATCTAGAGCTCTGTAAAAAAAATATAAAAAAGAAAATACCAAAAAATAATATATGAAAACAAAATCGTTTGTAAACAGAGTTCTAGATAATAAACATTAAGGGTGGTGTAAAAGGTGGGATTATTGTAATATTTTTTATGACCCCCATCTTAAAGTCTTCTTATGTTATCATGTTTAAAACAAACAAAAATTGCAATGGCAATTTAAAAAGTATAGTTCCTATGTGTAGGGACAGTGCCACTATGTACGTTAAAGAACCGTTGCCACAAGTCTTTGAGGGGTCAGTAGGTGGCCTGTTGCAAGGCTTAATTTCTGTCCAACATATCCTCCTCTCAGTTGGCAGTCAAAATTTCCCCTACCTTCATCATCGGCCCACTTTATAGAACCTACAAATTGATTTGTTATGAAATGAAGAGATGCGAGACAACTATCCTACAGAGACCAAATGAAATTGCATGTTACTGTATGGACTTCAACAATGAGAAAATCAACTAACATTAAAATTTTGCAATATTCTGAATTAGAATGACTTTGTTAATACCTCTAACCTTTAACATCTGATATTTTTATTATCTAGAGCTCTGTAAAAAAAATATAAAAAAAAATATAAAAAAAGAAATAAAAAAAGAAAATACCAAAAAATAATATATGAAAACAAAATCGTTTGTAAACAGAGTTCTAGATAATAAACATTGAGGGTGGTGTAAAAGGTAGGATTATTGTAATATTTTTTATGACCCCCACCTTAAAGTCTTCTTATGTTATCATGTTTAAATCAAACAAAAATTGCAATGGCAATTTAAAAAGTATAGTTCCTATGTGTAGGGACAGTGCCATTATGTACGTTAAAGAACTGTTGTCACAAGTCTTTGAGGGGTCAGTAGGTGGCCAGTTGCAAGGCTTAATCTCTGCCCAACATATCCTCCTCTCAGTTGGCAGTCAAAATTTCCCTACCTTCATCATCGGCTCACTTTATAGAACCTACAAATTGATTGGTTATGAAATGAAGAGATGTGAGACAAATGTCCTACAGAGACTAAATGATGTTGATGTAAAATAGGTTACTGTATGGACTTCAACAATGAGAAAATCAACCAACATTAAAATTTTGCAATATTCTGAATTAGAATGACTTTATTTATACCTCTAACCTTTAACATCTGATATTTTTATTATCTAGAGCTCTGTAAAAAAAAATATCAAAAAAATAAAAAAAAAGGAAATACCAAAAAATAATATATGAAAACAAAATCATTTGTAAACAGAGTTCTAGATAATAAAGATTGAGGGTGGTGTAAAAGGTGGGATTATTGTAATATTTTTTATGACCCCCGCCTTAAAGTCTTCTAAAGTTATCATTTTTAAAACAAACAAAAATTGGAATGGCAATTTAAAAAGTATTAGTTCCTATGTGTAGGGACAGTGCCACTCTGCACGTTAAAGAACCCTTGCCACAAGTCTTTTAAGGGGTCAGTAGGTGGCCTGTTGCAAGGCTTAATTTCTGTCCAACATATCCTCCTCTCAGTAGGCAGTCAAAATTTCCCCTACGTTCATCATCGGCCCACTTTATAGAACCTACAAATTGATTTGTTATGAAATAAGGAGATGCGAGACAACTATCCTACAGAGACCAAATGAAAGTGTATGTTACTGTATGGACTTCAACAATGAGAAAATCAACTAACACTAAAATTTTGCAATATTCTGAATAATAATGACTTTGTTAATACCTCTAACCTTTAACATCTGATATTTTTATTATCTAGAGCTCTGTAAAAAAAATATAAAAAAAAATATAAAAAAAGAAATAAAAAAAGAAAATACCAAAAAATAATATATGAAAACAAAATCGTTTGTAAACAGAGTTCTAGATAATAAACATTGAGGGTGGTGTAAAAGGTAGGATTATTGTAATATTTTTTATGACCCCCACCTTAAAGTCTTCTTATGTTATCATGTTTAAATCAAACAAAAATTGCAATGGCAATTTAAAAAGTATAGTTCCTATGTGTAGGGACAGTGCCATTATGTACGTTAAAGAACTGTTGTCACAAGTCTTTGAGGGGTCAGTAGGTGGCCAGTTGCAAGGCTTAATCTCTGCCCAACATATCCTCCTCTCAGTTGGCAGTCAAAATTTCCCTTACCTTCATCATGGGCCCACTTTATAGAACCTACAAATTGATAGGTTATGGAATGAAGAGATGCGAGACAACTATCCCACAGAGACCAAATGAAGTTGCATGTTACTGTATGGACTTCAACAATGAGAAAATCAACTAACATTAAAATTTTGCAATATTCTGAATTAGAATGACTTTGTTTATACCTCTAACCTTTAACATCTGATATTTTTATTATCTAGAGCTCTGTAAAAAAAAAAATCAAAAAAAATATAAAAAAAGAAAATACCAAAAAATAATATATGAAAACAAAATCGTTTGTAAACAGAGTTCTAGATAATAAACAACGAGGGTGGTGTAAAAGGTAGGATTATTGTAATATTTTTTATGACCCCCACCTTAAAGTGTTCTTATGTTATGTTTAAAACAAACAAAAATTGGAATGGCAATTTAAAAAGTCTAGTTCCTATGTGTAGGGACAGTGCCACTATGTACGTTAAAGAACCCTTGCCACAAGTCTTCAAGGGGTCAGTAGGTGGCCTGTTGCAAGGCTTAATTTCTGTCCACCATATCCGCCTCTCAGTTGGCAGTCAAAATTTCTCTTACCTTCATCATCGGCCCACTTTATAGAACCTACAAATTGATAGGTTATGGAATGAAGAGATGCGAGACAACTATCCTAGAGACCAAATGAAGTTGCATGTTACTGTATGGACTTCAACAATGAGAAAATCAACTAACATTAAAATTTTGCAATATTCTGAATTAGAATGACTTTGTTTATACCTCTAACCTTTAACATCTGATATTTTTATTATCTAGAGCTCTGTAAAAAAAAAATATAAAAAAAGAAAATACCAAAAAATAATATATGAAAACAAAATCATTTGTAAACAGAGTTCTAGATAATAAACATTGAGGGTGGTGTAAAAGGTGGGATGATTGTAATATTTTTTATGATCCCCACCTTAAAGTCTTCTAAAGTTATCATTTTTAAAACAAACAAAAATTGGAATGGGAATTTAAAAAGTATATAGTTCCTATGTGTAGGGACAGTGCCACTCTGCACGTTAAAGAACCCTTGCCACAAGTCTTTAAGGGGTCAGTAGGTGGCCTGTTGCAAGGCTTAATTTCTGTCCAACATATGCTCCTCTCAGTTGGCAGTCAAAATTTCCCTTACCTTCATCATCGGCCCACTTTATAGAACCTACAAATTGATTTGTTATTGAATGAAGAGATGAAAGAGAACTATCCTACCAGAGACCAAATGAAGTTGCATGTTACTGTATGGACTTCAACAATGAGAAAATCAACTAACATTAAAATTTTGCAATATTCTGAATTAGAATGACTTTGTTTATACCTCTAACCTTTAACATCTGATATTTTTATTATCTAGAGCTCTGTAAAAAAAAATATCAAAAAAATATAAAAAAAGAAAATACCAAAAAATAATATATGAAAACAAAATCGTTTGTAAACAGAGTTCTAGATAATAAAAAACGAGGGTGGTGTAAAAGGTGGGATTATTGTAATATTTTTTATGACCCCCACCTTAAAGTCTTCTTATGTTATCATGTTTAAAACAAACAAAAATTGGAATGGCAATTTAAAAAGTATATAGTTCCTATGTGTAGGGACAGTGCCACTCTGCACGTTAAAGAACCCTTGCCACAAGTCTTTAAGGGGTCAGTAGGTGGCCTGTTGCAAGGCTTAATTTCTGTCCAACATATGCTCCTCTCAGTTGGCAGTAAAAATTTCCCTTACCTTCTTCATTGGCCCACTTTATAGAACCTACAAATTGATTTGTTATGGAATGAAGAGATGAAAGAGAACTATCCTACAGAGACCAAATGAAGTTGCATGTTACTGTATGGACTTCAACATTGAGAAAATCAACTAACATTAAAATTTTGCAATATTCTGAATTAGAATGACTTTGTTAATACCTCTAACCTTTAACCTCTGATATTTTTATTATCTAGAGCTCTGTAAAAAAAAATATAAAAAAAGAAAATACCAAAAAATAATATATGAAAACAAAATCATTTGTAAACAGAGTTCTAGATAATAAACATTGAGGGTGGTGTAAAAGGTGGGATTATTGTAATATTTTTTATGACCCCCACCTTAAAGTCTTCTTATGTTATCATGTTTAAAACAAACAAAAATTGCAATGGCAATTTAAAAAGTATAGTTCCTATGTGTAGGGACAGTGCCACTATGTACTTTAAAGGACCCTTGCCACAAGTCTTTGAGGGGTCAGTAGGTGGCCTGTTGCAAGTCTTAATTTCTGCCCAACATATCCTCCTCTCAGTTGGCAGTCAAAATTTCCCTTACCTTCATCATCGGCCCACTTTATAGAACCTACAAATTGATTGGTTATGAAATGAAGAGATGTGAGACAACAGTCCTACAGAGACTAAATGATGTTGATGTAAAATAGGTTACTGTATGGACTTCAACAATGAGAAAATCAACCAACATTAAAATTTTGCAATATTCTGATTTAGAAAGACTTTGCCTCTAACCTTTAAAATCTGATATTTTTATTATTTAGAGCTCTGTAAAAAATATAAAAAAAGAAAATACCAAAAAATAATATGAAAACAAAATCGTTTGTAAACAGAGTTCTAGATAATAAACATTGAGGATGTTGTAAAAAGTAGGCATATTTAAAATTTTGTTTATTATTATGAATAGTGCACTGTATAATTTGTAAAAATGTTTATTTTGAAGTCTTGGAAAATTGTGAAACTTTAGAACTGTGTTTATTTGAGATGTCTTTATTCAGTCTTCAATGATTGTCATGGCAATTGAGGACAATAGAATATAGCTCTGTGTAGAAACTGACTTTTTTATATCAAGAAAGATCCAACAAAAGTTTTCAATGATATCTAGAGACGAAAGACAGAAATACTAAAAGGTTTTCTATGAGATTGGTGGATTATGTACAGTCAGACAACTGGCACACTCAAGATAAAAGTTAAATAGCTATTAAAATAAAATTATGGACTTGTATAATAACATTAATGAAGACAGATGTTCTATAGTGAAGACATGTTCCTACATAATGTTCTATAGTGAAGACATGTTCCTACATAATGTTCTATAGTGAAGACATGTTCCTACATAATGTTCTATAGTGAAGACATGTTCATACATAATGTTCTATAGTGAAGACATGTTCATACATAATGTTCTATAGTGAAGACCTGTTCCTACATAATGTCTTATAGTGAAGACGTATTCCTACATATTGTTCTATAGTGAAGACATGTTCCTACATAATGTTCTATAGAGAAGACATGTTCCTACATAATGTTCTATAGTGAAGACAGATGTTCTATAGCACAAACAGATGTTCCTAAGTTGCAATGAAGTATTCAGAAGACAGACAGACAGTTTCCTTTTGCAATGAAATTATCCAGAACACATAGTTGATTAGATTTCCAGTTCATTACATATTCTGACGTTTTCTCAAGAAAAACACAAGGTATTGATAGTTTAAGTCTGTAAAAAGTGTATTATTTGCACAGGATTTAAATTTTGAATTTTAATGGCCAAACCTGTTAATTAGGATTTATTTTATGATTTTTCTTGTTCCTGATTTATGATGCTTCTTGAATATTTAAATTTATGGAAGGTGAATTTTTCGTGGCTAATATATTTTTGATAATGTGACCAAATGAAATCAATTAGTTTGATTATCTTCTTCTTATAAAATAAAAAAAAGAATACAAAAATCTTAATTAAATAGTTTTAATTTAAATGATTATTTCATGTGAAGTATGTGACTGCCAATTCATAAAAATGAATTATTTTTATTCCAGATTTCAATGTTCAATGAAAGGAGAAATTCTTAAAATTTATGCTGGACATCTCATATCAAGGATCCATCACAATATTGATATTAGACTTATGAAGAATATTCTGATAAATTAATGGTAAGTGTTTACCTTAAGGAATCTGGTGGGTTGATTGTGATGCATACAATCACCTGAATTAATATGGAATTGGAACCATTGTACAGCACTCTAATAGAAGCCAGCATATGCTTTTAATATTCAAAAGAAAAAAAAATATTTTCAAAATACCTAGTAATTTCTTGAAATTGTGTCAATCTGTTTTACAAATTTGATCGGATTAATAATAATATTCAAAACAAAAAAAAGTCAATTTTCTAAATACCTAGTAGTTTCTTGTAATTCTGTCATTCTGTTTTGCAAATTTGATCGGATTGATAAAAAAGTACTACTGGCATAAATGTGAGATGTATCGGACTAAATAATAAGCTCAAGTTGTTTCTAATATTGTAAGGGTATTCTCAATGTTTTCAGAATACTGTAAAATTCTTAAAGGTGTAAAGTATAAATAAATATTGTTCATGCAGATGATCCAAAATTCTAAGACATATTTTCTGTGTTTCAGATGTACGACAAATCGTGCTACAAGTATCATACCAGCAAAATTATTTGATGGGAGTAAAACATAGGAGCAGGATCTCACCTCATACAAGGTTGGTATTCTTACTTCCTTAGCAAATTAATTATCTGTCCATCTGATGTCACAATGTTCTAATAAAAAGAAGAAGTGGTTTGATTGCCGAGGAGACAACTCTCCACCAGAGACCAAATGATGTGGAAGTTTACAAATATATCTTTCTCGGTTGGCAATGTGACAGAGCTGCTTAAAAACTGTTTCACTCAGTCAACTTATGAACATGATGTACTGGAAATAACCAGTTGATTAAAGTAACTACTTTTATTGTTGTTCTTCATCATAACAGTTGCTGTAGAGTATTCACCTATGAACTGAAATGTTTATACTTAATAACAATGTCAAGATGACCCCTATGGTCAACTTGAACATTATATGTGCAATAATGGTAACATGACTCCAACTGGAGGTATCAGCTGTATTAAATAAAGAGACCAAATAGGAAAATTTTATGAAAAGATTATCAGACGTCAAAAGAATGAAATAATTGTCAATGTATTTTGTTTATTTTTAGTTTTTGTCCGTATACCTCACTTTTTTGTATTCATATCTCAAATTAGAACATAACGACGCTGTTTTGAGAATTTTTTAATCTAAGCCTGCTTGAGGGACCTAAATCGGGGAAAATATTTCTATGGTAGTGACATTAAGTTTTCAGAATAGTACTGAACTGCTCTCCATTATTGCTGTAAAACCTTTTTGTTCAAAATTCAAGTGCTGTTCCCATATTCTTTTAAAATTTTTGTTATCCAATTGAATTAACTAATTAAATTGTTGTTTGTAGTGAGGAGGAACAATTGAACTGATGAGCTTGGAAACATCTGAAAGGTATACATAAGAAAAACAGACTACCTAGAATAAGAAAAGAGAAAGATTAACTCATAGAGTAAAGGGTAAAAACAGACCACCTAGAATAAGAAAAGAGAAAGATTAACTCATAGAGTAAAGGGTAAAAACAGACCACCTAGAATAAGAAAAGAGAAAGATTAACTCATAGAGTAAAGGGTAAAAACAGACCACCTAGAATAAGGAAAGAGAAAGATTAACTCATAGAGTAAAGGGTAAAAACAGACCACCTAGAATAAGAAAAGAGAAAGATTAACTCATAGAGTAAAGGGTAAAAACAGACCACCTAGAATAAGAAAAGAGAAAGATTAACTCATAGAGTAAAGGGTAAAAACAGACCACCTAGAATAAGAAAAGAGAAAGATTAACTCATAGAGTAAAGGGTAAAAACAGACCACCTAGAATAAGAAAAGAGAAAGATTAACTCATAGAGTAAAGGGTAAAAACAGACCACCTAGAATAAGAAAAGAGAAAGATTAACTCATAGAGTAAAGGGTAGACGAAACTATCAACACTTTGAAATTAATAAGAGCAATAATCAACATAACAGCTGCTTCATCACCATCTCAGAGGTTAGGTCTCTAACTGACTCAACTGATGAACTTATAACAAGCTTAACAGATTATCAGCATAGTTGAACAATGAACACTTCAGAGACAAAATATTCTTGGCAATTAAAATATATGACTGAAATTTCATAATTGTATATGGTCAGTGGGAGAGAGAGAAAGATGTAGAATGGTCAGAGTGGGAAAGGGAGAACACTTATGATGATGAGTGGGGAGAAATAATTAACAATTATTGCAACTGGTAAATTTGTCTTCAACCAAACTCATGGCTTGTGTTGATGTGTCTACCTTAGACATCTGATATTTTTATTATCTAGAGCTCTGTTTAAAAAAAAATGTAAAAAATAATATGAAAACAAAATTTAAACAGTTCTAGATAATAAACATTAAGGGTGGTGTAAAAAGTGGGCATATTTCAAATATTCTTTTTTTCACCAATGTATTTATGAAATTTAAAACTTTAAAGTCAGAATGTTTAATTGGACGTACAATTGTTTTGATTTTAGATATTTGGAGACAAAACCTATTCTTCTCCATTTATTACACTCTAAAAGTGTCATTAATTTGCAATATTCTAATTTTGATTGTCTTTGCTTATACCTCTAACCTTAGACATCCAATATTTTTATTATCTAGAGCTCTGTAAAAAAAAAAAAAAATAATATGAAAACAAAATTGCAGAGTTCTAGATAATAAACATTAAGGGTGGTGTAAAAAGTGGGTATTTTTTTAATTCTTAAATGGCCTTAAAGTTTGAATGTTTAAATGGAAGTAGAATTCTTTCAATTTTAGATGTTTTGAGATAAAACCTATCATCTCGGTATATATTTATACTGTGTATAACAATGTCTTAAATTCTGCAATATTGTAATTTTGAATGTCTTTGTTAACTCTAACTTTTAACGTTTGAATTCCATTCAGTATTAAAATAATATGTGATACAAATTTTTCTTGTCATTAAGGATATTTGTATTAAATGGTTTTGTCTCACCTGCCACAAAAACTTCAGAATGCAAGACATTGGGATCTGGCGGGGGCAGAAACTATTTGTATTAAGCTTTATATTTCAGAAATTGATAGGCTTTGAGGATTTAATCATACCATTAATACAGACAGATGCCATATGTTTGGAAGTTTCCGTCTGTCACATGTCTGTTGTCCTTGATTTTATTTTCATGGTTCAGCAACTGCTTAAAAGATTTTTTTTTATTTGAATTTCTCAATAATGAGTAATATGATTTGATATGGGTCATTGCAATGTCTGTATGTTCTTCAGACAGGGTTCACCTGACCTCAACCTCATTGATCAAGGTGAAAGTCACATGTTTTGATCTGCTTCCCAGATACTGTAAGCAGAAGTTCAACTTTATTTGGTGTATGGAATGATTGTAAGGTGTACATGTCAGTCTGGCAGGTTTTATCTGACCTTGACCTCATTTTCTTTGTCTGAATGTTAAGTTTTCCTGGTTAATATGAAAATAAGGAGAGATGGTATGATTGTCAATGAGACAACTATCAACTAAAGTTCAAATGAAGTGGGTGTAAGCATTATAGGCAATAGTACAGCCTTCAGCAGTGAGAAAAACCCATACCGTGTAGTCTGCTTTAAAAGGCCCTGACATGAAAAATATGAAACAATTCAAATGACGTAATTTATAACAAAACTATTTGTGAAAAACAAATATGAGACATGAACCAACAACAGCCATAGAACTACAGGTTCCTGACTTCGTCACAGGCACTTAAAGAATGTGGCAGGGTTTAACAAGGGCTCAACCTTCCTCTAACCTGGGAAAGTCTAAGGAAGAGAGCTTTAATTGTTTTTCGTTATCTCAGTCACAGTGAGGCCTTCAACACAGAGCAAACACAAATTGCCTCACTTGCACTGCAAGTTTAGGATAACACCTAGCAGCGGTTTGAGTGGAATACATTGCAAGATGCATTCTAATCGGGCCTGGTTAAAAAAATGAACATATTGGAAAGTAGTTCATATTTAAAACAAAATAGTTCCTATGCATCGGTGTAAATTATGTATGGAATGATTGTAAGGTGTACATATCTGGCAGATTTCCTCATTTTCGTGGTTCTTTTATCGATGTCTAGTATTCATGATTTAATTATATATATTAATTGGTCTTTCTTGTATACTATATAAGCAGTAGGTCAACTATATTTGGTGTTTGCCCGGGTGGGGTTACTGACTATCCTTTCAGGTATAACTGTACCGACAGCACTTGCCAAATCATACCCTGTTCTAACCAGAAAACATTGAAAAATATACCCTGTTCTAAACAGAAATATTGAAAAACATACCCTGTTCCGGATTAATAATAATATTCAAAACAAAAAAAAGTCAATTTTCTAAATGTTCTAGACACGCTCGAGAAAATGTACCGGTAGAATAGATGCTGTCCTAGACCCAGGTTCTAGACTGTATCTTAAACAGTTAATTATAAGCGATCCTGGTCTAGACAAATACTTTGTTTAAAAAAAGGCTCTGTAAAAGCCTGTTCTCACCAGAAAGGCATGAAAAAGCGACCCTGTTCTAACCAGCAGGACATGAAAACGTACCCTGTTCTAACCAACAGGGCATGAAAAAGCGACCCTGTTTTGCTCGATCCACACTCGTACCACTAAAAATATAGGAAGTAACACTCCCCCCCCTCCCCCCCCCCCCCCCCCCCCCCCCCCCCCCCCCCCCCCCCCATTGTGTTTGTAATGATTGTAAGGTATCTTTCTGGCTTGTTTTATCTGAACATGACCTAAAACTATCAGCATAAAATAAATTATAAATAGTATTTTTAAAGCAGGCCAGACATTTCAGATGTTCGCTCCTCTTGTTTTTGAATTTTGTCAGATATTCGGAATCCTCTGGTTTTATCCATGTAGTGCCATTAAAACATTTTGGCCACTAAGGGTTGCACTAATGACAGGACGATTGCCCGGATAGTGACAGGACGATTGACCGGATGAGATATAAATAGTCAGAACTTTTTTGATATTCGGTAGATTTTTTTAATATTTGTAGACCTTGGAGATATTTAACTATATTTTATGAAAATCAAACAAAAACAGTGAAAAAAAATATTTTTGAGCAAATAAAGTTGACCAGACGGATTTCACACTCGCCGGTATACGCTATACATGTATTCAACTGGTCGACAACAAGTGTTACTATCTCTTTTGTTTTACAATATATGTCCATGAAATTAAGGAATCTGCGAGATTTATAAATATATTATACGAAAATATAAACTTTATAGTAAAAAAAAATGTTTTTCTGCAAAAAAAGTTGACCGGACGGTATTCACATTCGCCGATGTACGCTATACATATATTCAACTAGTCGACAACAAGTGTTAATATCTCTTTTGTTTTACAATATTTGTCCATGAAATTCTGGAATCTGTGAGATTTATAAATATATTTATAGATATATCTAATTATATCTCATCCGGTCAATCGTCCTGTCACTATCCGGGCAATCGTCCTGTCATTAGTGTAACCCGGCCACTAAGCCCTACTTTTCTTTTCATAATTTTATAACATATAGTTTAAAAAGCCATATTTGAAAATCTTGTAAAACCCTTGTTATTTTCTCAAAGTTTTTATGTAAAACAATTCAAACGAGAAAACTAACGGCCTAATTTATGTACAAAAAATGAACGAATAACAAATATGTAACATATAAACAAACGACAACCACTGAATTACAGGCTCCTGACTTGGGACAGGCACATACCTACAGAATGTGGCTGGGTTAAACATGTTAGCGGGATCCCAGCCCTCCCCCTAACCTGGGATAGTGGTGTAACAGTACAATATATTAGAACGAACTATAAAAATCAGTTGAAAGAGGCTTAACTCATCAGATGGATAAAATACAATTACAATGGACGTGGTAACGATGGGTAGTTGTACATCCATACAACAAAAAGACTAAGTACAGATCTGAGAGTACTTGCAGTTTATGGGGAACCACTAGTGGTAGGCCAATGATATTTAGTATGCAGTTGTAGTAGCATTGGCACATTTCATTACCATGGAGATAATTTGGCCCCGCCCCCTCAGTCAAGGTCTATTGACTTTGAAACTTTGCTTAGTTTACATGTATCAGTTAGTGATTAGGTCAGTTTATGGGGAACCACTAGTGGTAGGTCAATGATATTTGATATGCAGTTGTATAAGCATTGGCATATCTCATTTCTATAGAGATTATTTGGCCCCGCCCCCTCATTCATGGTCTATTGACTTTGAAACTTTTGCTTAGTTTTCATGTATTAGATTGTGATTATGTCAGTTTAAGGGGAACTGTTAGTGGTAGGTCAGTGATAATTGGTATGCAGTTGTATAAGCATTAGCACATCTCATTTCCATGGAGAATATTTGGTCTTTACCCCTCAGTCATGGTTTATTGACTTTGAAACTTTTGCTTAGTTTACAAGTTACTGTTTGTGTTTAGGTAAAAAATTGGTTTAAAGGGAACGACTTATGAAAAGTCAATGGTATTTGGTTTGCAGTTGTATTAGCATTGACACATCTCATTTCCATGGAGATTGTTTAGCCCTGGTTCATTGACTGAATATTTGCATAACTTACATGTTAAAATATTGCTATTTTAATTTCAACATTATTTGCATTATCAAAATAACAGATAGGCGAGACTGTTTTAACAGTTTATTTGTTGAAACTACAGTAGATTGAAACAGCAAAAAATACAATTAGGATTATTTTTTTCCAATCAATTGACATGGCCAAAATTAGCATTCAACTTTATTAA